GAGGGTTGCGATCCTGTTACCGGTCAGTAAAAAAGACAAAAAGGAAAAAAAAAAAAAGATCCAGAGACTAAACTGTTTTTTGGCTTTGTTCATCCTGTTTCGGCTGCCGTGGGCTTCTCTGCAGCATCCAGAGAGGCCCTGTGGAAGTCTTTATTTCTCTGCACCGGCCACTGATGAGTGGAGGACCAGGGGTGGAACAGGCAGGTGCCACAGCCGCCCTGAAGGCGGCGGGGGCTGACTCTACAGTGAAGCATGTTTCCTGCCAGGCTTTGCTTTAAGAGGTATGACAGGGAGCAGGCAGGCTCAAGCCATCCTTTTTTGTCCCTCTAGTTGCCAAAATAAAAAAGATTTCCCAGGAATGGAGCCCTTCCGTGCTCTCCCCTCCTGGGAGAGCTGCCTCCTTTTCCTCCCCTGTGTCTCCCAGAAGGGCCCAGGGATTTCACACGCTCTGTTCTGCTTCTCTCTCAGGCTCCAGCACTCACCGGAGAGTCTTCGCTGGGCATCTGTCTAGAGAGCAGGCCTCAGGTTTCCACCTGGCACCAAACTCTGCCACTGTCTACTGCTCGGTGTGGCGGGCGTTGGGAGGAGGGCCTGACCGCCTGGCTGACCTGACCTTGGAGGTGTTGGCGTCAGAGTGGCTCACCTTGATTAGCCACTGTAGCCTGCCCTCTCCTGTCCTCTGTTCTTGCTGGTGCGAAGCTTGTCTTACTCCTGTGGTGGTTTTCTTCTGTGAGTGTGGACCTGTGGCTGCTTCCAGTCTTATTTCTCAGACATTCTGTTATCTGCTTCCTCTCATCCAGGAATTCCTACAACTTTCTGGTCTGCCAAGAGTACTGTTTTGTTGTTTGTGGTGGTGGTGTTGCATGTTTGTTTTTCAGTGCTGTTCCAGATGTTAAAATATCTTTTCCATCAGACCTTTAGCATGGCAGACAAAAATCTGGCCAAAAATGGGCCCAGCCCAGCAGGTGGTACTTGTTGGTCTTGGGTGGTCACCTCCATCCAGCCCCATGGATCTTGACATAGTTAGGCTGAGTAACTTCAGCTGGTCTAAGATGGTTATTTGTACCTCATTACTGGATGGATAAATCTATAATCCTAGGGAAAATGTACTTTTCTATCATTTTATGGGACTTGGAGAAGTGAGGTCCATCATTTTCACCCTATCATCTTTCTCTATTAATAATTAACTATTTGCCAGGACACAAATGTGTCCTGTATCAGAAGTGGCTTGTAGCATAGACACCTTGTCTTACTTAACCTTCATTGGGAAGGATAACAGAGCACAATCCCCATTTCCCCTAGGCCACAAAACAAGATCTGGGCCATGGGACTGCTGCCATCTCCATCGGGCAGGCCCTAGATTTAGCATGAATTGTGAGAACTCGTGTGTTCATTTGTCTGATGAGCTGGATTGAACACCTGCTCTTATAATCATGCCGTGCTGCATTTGTGCTGTATTTCCAGTGTGTACAGTGCTTTATGTATTTTAACTCATTTGACCTTCACAACAATCCTGTTTATTATTCCCATTTTACAGATGCAGAAACAAGGCATTAGACCAATTGGACAACTAGGAAGTTCATGATTTAGATCTTTAATCCAGTTTCTGCTTCCAATCCAGTGCCCTTTGCACTACAAGATACTGTTTTTCTTGAAAAGAGCAGTATAGGGTCATGGATATTTAAGCAAATAGCATTCATCACAATATGTTGTAATTACCACAGCGGTTGGACCATGTGCCATGGAAGAACAAAGATTAGAGAGCCAGTTTTACCTAGGAAAGATCAGAGCTGGGCTTGAGGCAGAAAAAAAATATCTTAGGAAAAAAGAAGAGCGTGCAAAGTCTTGGAGGCATGAAAAAGCTTAGCGTGTCTGAGGAGTGGAGAAATGCCTGGTATGGCTGGAGCAGGGAAAGTGACTGTCAGGGAAGATGTGAAGAGAGGGGAGAGAGGTGAGTCTGGGAAGTGAATCAAGGTCTGGCTTTAAAGAGTCTGGAGTAATGATGAGGAAGCACTTCTGCATAGATTGAGCTTGCAGGACTTGTGGATTATCTAGGAAGAGATGGCCAGGGAGCCACGGGAGCTCAGCAAAGAGGGCTATTTGGAGATAAAGGCTTAGTTCTCAACATTATATGGATGGAACTTGCAGGGGTTCCCCAGGGAGAGAAGGTAGAACAAAGCCTTGGGGACAGAGCACAATGCAGGAGGTGGACCAAAGAACAACAAACTGAAAAGACCTTGAGAAGCAATGTTCAGAGAAGCGGGAAGAGAGCCAGGAGGGCAGCAGCAGGGGGAGAAAGGAGCTCAGGCAGTGCTCAGCGTGTGGGGCAGCGGGTAAACTGAGTAGGTTTCAAAACGAGCTTGAACTTGCCATCTTCACTTCTTTCCCCACACTTTGGTACAGGACTTAAGTCTAATTGTAATGGCTCAAAGGTCAGCCTTGAACCACCGTGTCAGATTTTTAGTATATTGCATTGAGGATCTGACATTGCTTCATCATGTTTTAAAACTTGGATGAAATATCATTATTTTTAATATTATGGGACATGTAGATTCTAAAGACAGCACTTTTTAAAAAATCCATAAGAGTTCATCAATATGGATTTCATACTGGTATGATATAAACCCTCCTCCTAAACTCGGAGATCTGCTCCCAAAATTCTAACTTTGAATCTGTCAAGATTTTAGGGCTAAATTCTAAAACTTTTCTTTACCCAGCTGGGTTTACTCCTCCCTCCACAACAGGGCCTACCCCCCGTGGAGGTGAGAATGAGATTTGGTGACTGTTTCCTCTTTTAGCCAAGTGTCTCGGAGGGTCCCATGCTATTTGCAGCTGATGTCAAGTAGCCAGAACAGCAGGGCCGCTCCTTGTGCTGAAGAGCCATAATCCTATTACGCCTACTTTGAGACTTTCACATTAGCTGCCTCTAGAGTAGTGGATGGACGAAGGTGACTCAATTGACTTTTAAATCCCCTAGGGTCCTAGTTTCAAAATCCCCATGTCTAAGTCAAGTAGTAGATTAGGCCTCTTGCTGAGAAGGCCTGACTCCTTTGGAGCCCCTGTGGCCACAGCTTTTCTTCAATGGCTTTATGGGTCTTATATTTTCTGGGTTCCACCACTAAGCACTAGATTGGTGTGCAGTTGTGTCCTTCAGTGGTGATCCTTAACAGGAGGTGAGCCTGGCTGGCGTCGCTTGGGTCATGGATTTAGTATGTCTTTGTACAGTCATGATTAGGAGATATATCCTCTGTTGATTCTGTAAGGACACCATATTCTTTTGTTCATGTAAAGCTGTCCTGTGAAGGCAGCATGCAAGGTGCACAGTTTTATTCCTCCAGTTAGCCCTCGCTAGATCTGACATCTGCCTCTTATTATAATGTGGTTGCAAAGTTATTTAATCCAATTAACTATTTTAGAATATTTATAATTCCGTTTTGATTACTCAGGGTGTGTGTCTAATAATTAACTAAGTTTCAGATGTAATTTGCTAGACCAAATGTCATATTTTATTTGTAAGTTTGTTTAACTTTTTATGCAAGGCGTTGACTTTTGAATATCACTTTGCTGGATTTTTTTTCACTAACACAAATAAATATGTAGGAACCTTCACATTTGGTGCTTATGTTAGCTCTCACAACATCTCTCTTAGAAAGGGATTGTCCTCAGTTTGCAGATGAGATTAAGACTCTGATGTCATATGGCTGGTGAGTGGTTGCACTGAGGTTAGAACTTTATCTTCAGGCTCTAAATGTAGTATTCTATTCGGTTCACCAACACTCCCCAAATTTATTTGACCAAGGAACACTTTTAAAATTATTATGTAATGATGGAACACCATCCATAACTCATTAAGGTTTAGATGTTTAATATACAGTAACATTGAATAATATCATAAACTGTTGGAATTTTAGGACTGAATGCATAAAACAGACTGACGATTAGGTAATAGGCAATGATCATGATTGCAGCAATTAGTGCAGAGTAACTGCTGCCTGTCCGTCATGTCTTTCAGCTGACTTCCTAGCCCTCCTAGAATTAATAACCCATTTGTTTGTTCTTAAGTTTCAGAAACATATTAGGGTTTCTTATATTTCAGGGAGCAACAAAAAAACACAAATTACTGACCAATCATATCTCTTACCATTAATATAACTAAACACTATTAGTGATTCCAAAATAATTATAGATATAAAGGTGATTGGGAATCTCCTCCGTCTTTCAATGCCAAAAATGTCCATAACACTTTCATACCCCATTACTTAAAGGCATATTATTGGATACTAGCTATATAATAAATTTTAGAATAAAAAAGCTTTTCATAAACTGATTAACAGCTCATAGACACTGGCGGTCCATGGAACGGAGTTTGGGAAGTGTGGACATATACCGCCCTGCTTTCCCTCTCTTATCCCAGACACTACTATTTGCTTTCTCCTCATCCCAGGCCCTTACCTCCTCCGGGCTAGGTAAGAAAACATGGAGTCTATGTGCATCCTATACAACTCCTCTGGAAGAAGCATTTTACATAACCCACAACAATAGTGACAGCATTATTATTCTGTTAGGCTAAGATATCACACAGGATCCCAAGGAATTTGGATCATTTGTCAAGTTGATTAAACCAGTTGTTCCTAGTGGTGTTAAAAGACAAGGTTTGTCATTATTGATTAAAGTGGTCATGAAAAACAATTTTTAGATTCATTACAAAGTGAGGGATAAATTAGCCAACTACAGTGGGAGTGGGGATGCTGTTCTCTCTGAGATTGGAAGGGAAGGGACCCAGTGCACATTGGATTTCTCCCTTGTCCTTCCATCAAGGAACACACTCATTTGAAAAATGACTTTAGGGATTATAATGGCACAATTTCTTCCTCCACTAATAACTTTTTATGTAGAAGAAATCCCTGAGCACACCACTGACCCTTGAATCCATTTCCATGTTTGAAGCCTTAATGAAGACCTTTCATTCATTATTTCCATGTTACTTCTTGTCTTTGTAGACCTGGCCAGAGGACTGTGGATGACCTAGAGATTATCTATGAAGAGCTTCTTCATATTAAAGCCTTATCCCATCTTTCTACCACAGTAAGTTGTCTCAGTTGAGCAAGGTCAGGGAGACTTTGAGTTAAATGCACTGTTAGGTCTGGAGGAGAGTATTATGGTGTGGTTGGCGGGGAGAGGGATAGGAATGCCTGAATTCTACCTTGTAAATCACCCTGACTCTCTCTTATGAAATGCTAAGGAAGTTATACCCAAGAACAATCACCAAAAGGGAATCAAGTATTACCACGTTATTAGTAGCTGCCCATGTGCCCTAAACCCCAAAGCATCTGAAATGAGTAGAATTGGAACATTTTGCTTTATCCTTCCAAATCTAAGCTTTGGTATCTGCACACTCAGACAAAAGAGCCAGGACTTGGGAGGGGCTCTGAACCCCTTCTATAGCATATCGAGCCAGAGGGAGGAAGGAGAGAAATCTAGATGCCCTGTCTGGGCCCAAGGTTTGCTGCCTAGTGAGAAAGGAAGCAGAAAGTTCAAGAGAGCACCAGTTTAGATATGTTAGGCCGCAATAGCACTACCCACTAGTGAAAAGTGGCCCAATGACCATATCTCATTGTGAACTTTTGCCTGCTTAGGTTATTCAGGAGATAGAAATTGTGGCCTCTGAATAGGGATAGAAACACCTCCTCCTGTAGGAATATGATTTCCAAGCAACACAAGTTTCTAATATGCTAATAATTCAGGGAGAAGGAGAAGGAGGTGGTTTCAACTTTCACAGGCTATATGCTGAGACCCCTAAGCAACGTCTATATGCCAAATTCATCTTTCATTCCCAGCTCACTAAGGATGATGTCATGCTCCCTCACAGTGGCAGTATCTGCTGGTCCCTATTGTGTGGGGTAAGGTTCAGGTCTGCTGAGAGCAGTGAGGCATTTGCCACAGCCATGTGCAGAAGGTCTCCAAGTCCCCGCTCCCCCTCATCCCAGAGTGGGTTCCTTCACAATTGTCCTACCCCTGCAATATTGGGGGTCCAGAGGCTCACTCACCTATGTAGACCATCTGGGGAGTGGTCCAGCCAGCCTCCCCTCCTTCCTTCCAATGCCCTGTCATCCTTCATGTCTTTATGGTGGGGCAGATCTAGTGCTTGGGAGCCTCACCTGGGGAGTCCCCACATAATATAGGGGCAAGCAACTGAGGCTCTATGAGCTCGTGCTATAGAGAGAAGTAAGAAAGGAGGACCCCTTTTCTCTACCTATGCTCCAGGTACTCAGCATGCTCCATTTTGACTTCCCCAGTCCTGGTGGAATTGAAAGGATTGTAGGTAGTCTCCTTTCTACCTTAAACCCCAGTTACCCAGGCACTGTGGAAAATTCTCAGGTTACCTAGTTCTTAGAGAGATAGAACCAACATTTAGGACCATAATTTGGAATTTTTTAAAAATAGGAAATTTAACTATCTAGGAATATGTGTAATTTTAGCTATCTAAGAATAGAAATCTTCTAACACATTTAAGCTTAATTACTCAACCTCAAGACATTAAATTTTCTGACATGTTGGCAGTGATGCGTTATGTGTGGCGGCAAAGAGCCACTGGGCAACAGAGTCACGTGGTACTGTAGATGGTCTCACCTTCTGGCCCAAGGCAAAGGACAGGCAGACAGATTGGCTGGGTAGCGCATGTGAGACCGTGTTTTAAACGTCTCTAGGGTGATGGGGTGGTATGAATTAGCCATACTCGAGTCTATAAAAATTGCTTTTGCACGAGCTTTAAGTCTAGTGAAAGTGGTTCTGGGTGAGCAGCCACCAGTGAGGTGAGGTGTGGGAAGGAGGGGTGCAGGTAGGGCTGTGCTCCAGAAAGAGAACCCGCCCCCTGCAATCTGGCCTTCCCACCTTCTTTCTTTTTCTTCTAGGTGAAACGGGAGTTAGCAGGTGTTCTCATTTTTGAATCTCACGCCAAAGGAGGAACTGTGTGTAAGTGAAAGCTGTGACTGCACAGTGCACCTGGCTGGCACCTGGGCGCCCACGTGCACCAGAGCACTGGCTGCACACGCCACGGCTTGCCCCGGCTCTGACTTGGCAGGTGTCCTGCGGCGCTCTGGTTTTGCTGGACCTTTGATTATTTCCAGCACATGTGAATTATTCTGAAGTATGAGGGTTTTCTGGTAGCAGCTTGTATAGCCTGAGCCTCACCCTCTCCCCACTCTACTGGCTCAGGATGGTGTCTAAAGAGGTGGGATGAAGTCACTGCTCTTAGGACAGGACCCTAGGCAGTACCTTCTGCAGTGACCTCACTACAGTTTGTGGCTTTAGAAGAACTAACCTTTCCCTTGAGATTGCTGGTTAGAATAACAATTAAACTATCCCTTTTCTTCTCCCATTCCACGATTGACTCCAAGCCTGAGAGAATTTCTTTGCCTCAGATACTTATGCAGTACAAATATATAGTATCTCTCCAAAATCCAACTTGTAATTAAGTTCTGTGATCATATTTGGAAGCAAGAAATTGAAATTTGATAGTAATAGGTGGGAACAGTATTATTTAAGCTGGCATTTCCCACTAAAAATCTTTCTTGAAAAACAGGGTTAGTGATCTACTAAGGTCAGGAAATGCCTCCTCTACTCTCTTGCAGAATCATAAGACCCATCAGCATGCTAAAGGTTCTCAGAAATTCTGCAATAAACAAGAATGCTCACTGTATTTAAAGTTACACACTTCCTAAACCTAGGGACACATGGAACACTTTTAATGGACACCTGTTAACTTTTCAAGAGACATGTTTTGGAAAATCTTTTTTCTTCAGGCTGAGCTGTGTTAGTCGAATAATCAGTAAACAAGAATTGCAAAAGCAAAAATAGTTTTACAAATTATACTTAAATGTTTTACTTCAGGCATCAGAAGTGGTCTGACATTGATATCTGTTTTAGTAAGAATGTTATTTCTTTACATTTTAAAGGTTCACTTTAATATTTTTTATCTTTATCATTGATGACTTATTCTTTTCTCATTTATTCTTTTCATTCAAACTTACTAATTGTTTCCATTTTACTATTAAATATTACAGTACCTTTTAAATCTTTATCAAACATGACATCATACTGTATTTTTTTCATATTTCCTAAAGAATGAAATTATACTGTTAACAGTCGAAGGTCTTTCGTTCCCTCCTTTATGCAACATTCATTTATTTCCCTCCCCAGGGTAACTCCTACTCTGAATGGAATAGTTATCATTCCAACCCATTTTTTAAAAAATATGTATCTTTCTGTAACGATATGTAGTACTCTTCTGCGTGTTTTCATACCTCACATTATTGGTCAGATTACTTTTTAAAATTATTTTGCTATAGCATAAGTTTTGCTAAATTGTGGGGGAAATGTTTATGACTTTAAGAAATGTATTGCTGGTCAACTGATATCTGCTAAAAGCTTAACTGTTAGGGCAGAGCAAGGAGAGCAGTGTTTCTCCTCCTTTCATGTTGTATGGAAAAGGAAATAATATGCCACCTGAAGAAGTTAGTATTTGCCAGTGACTTTTTTCGTATTTTACGTATGCATAATGCTGGGAATTTAAAATGATGATTTGATAAGCTATAATTTATATTGATGTGCTTCTATTCTTGTCATAAGTCTTTTCATCTTTTTTGTGTCTAGTGTTTAACCAGGGGGAAGAAGGTACCTCCTGGTACATTATTCTAAAAGGATCAGTGAATGTAGTCATTTATGGCAAGGTATATATATATATATATCTTTTTCTTTTTGAAACTTTATTATGCTCCATTTATTAGTGTCTCTAGGTCTTAGCAATGTAGTGCTACAATTAAATTTACAACAACATTGTTACTGCTTGTAGAAAAGACGTGACTGCATCTTAAATCATAAATTATCTCAATTGTTATACTCTGAGTAGTATTGTACTTTGTGGGGCTCATTTCCTTATGGATTATAATGTATACATTTAAGTTAGGCCATAGACCATATTACTCAATGAAAGAAAAATGAAGCACTATAATTTAATTATAAAATCTCCCTTTGTCTTCCCTAGGTACACCCATTTATATATACAGTGTTTTAGAAGGAAGGGGGTCTTGTGGCAAGAAGCAAGTTGGTGTCTGCTCCGTTTAGGAATCATCGTCATCTGAATGTTCTGTTCTTTCCAGGGTGTGGTCTGCACCCTGCACGAGGGAGATGACTTCGGCAAGTTAGCACTAGTGAATGATGCCCCGCGAGCTGCCTCTATTGTCTTGCGAGAAGATAATTGCCATTTCTTAAGAGTAGACAAAGAGGATTTCAACCGGATCCTGAGGGTGAGTCCAAAGCAAAGTGTGGCTAAGGGACATCCCATTTTTTCCTTTTGCCAAACAAGAGAAGATTTGTGCGTAGTGTTAATCGAGAAGTATTCTGATGAATGAATGCTTTGGGAACAAAGGGCCTTTGTCACAAAACTGGTACATTCAATGCACTGGTATGCATTCTGAGCTCCAGAGGTAGTACTCCAGTGAAGCTGCAAATGTAGGAAGCTGTGCTGGACCCAATACCTCTGCACATGCCTGTACTGGTCCATGAGAATTGAAGATAAACAGGGACTGCCTTGGCAAAATGCCAAAGTCGGAGAAGTTTCTCTTTGGCATCCTAGATGTCCTGTTTTGTGTCCGTCCCCACCCCACTCTCCAACACAGTGGCAGCCCCCCCGCCGCCTGCCTTTCTCTATTTTAGACCTTCCTAGTCTCCACCTCCTATCTCTTCCCAAAGTTGAACCTTTCTCAAATCATCACACACTCTCTTGATTTATTGAGTGATTTCATTTCAGTGGGAATTAACATCAGCCATGGTTACTCCAACCAAGTATTTTCATTTTGAGTGCTTTATCTCAAATTATTTCAAACTAAAGGAATTTCAGACATTGGCAAGTAGTTGAAAAATAATTGGGGTGAAAGAGGGAGCTGTGAATTACACTTAAAGTTCACTCTGAAGATAACCCTGCTCTACGGTTATTAAGATATTTGTGACAGTGGGTGATGTTTAGAAGAAATGGTCCCTGTTCTCTCTCCACAGTCCCTGGGGAATGATGACCCAGCTTTCACTGGCAGAGGCCTGATTGAGGACTGCTTGGGATGATGACAATGTCCCATCCCGCCTGGCCTCTCAGGTGGCCTGTGGTCCTCCTTGCCCTAGCTTGAGCTTACCCGGGAGGCCATTCCCTAGGATCTCTCTGCCCTCTGCCCTTCCCTGCATCTTCTTGCAGCTGTAGCAACTTTCTCTATCCAATCCTAAGCTCCTTCATGTAGCTTTTGTGCTTTCTGGTACATTTCCATTATGTAATGATGATTTACAATGTCATTCTCCATCTATCCTTACACAGCCTTACACATTTGCCTGTCATGGCAAAATTTCTGATAACAAAGTTCATCTCATCCTTACACATTTGCCTTTCATGGCAAAATTTCTGATAACAAAGTTCATCTCAGAAATGCATTGCCTTAATGCAAAGAAAGTTAAATTAAAATTTATACCATTGAATAATATAGAAAAAACCACATGGAATTTCACTTGGTTCTCATCTGGTCTCTTTTAAGATGGAAGCTAAATGTGTACGAAAAGTACATTAAAATTTTTAATTAATTATTTTTAATGATATTGCAGTTAAGAGGTAAACCTCACAAACTCTTTGAAGTTTATACACATGGAGTTTAGAGTCAGCCAAAAAATTCTTTGGAAGAATCAGATTAGGAACATTATCATTGATGTGATTTATGAAATCACTGCAAATAACTGAAAAAGGTTTTTAACACATTTCAAACTTTTGTAAAAAGGAAAATCTTTTGATTAGAAAGAAAAAGAAAATGTGCCACTCCTGAGAAAACTAAATATGCTTGGAAGAAAGAACTTTGCTGAAGCTGAGTGCTGTTTATTCCACATTTTAATAAAGAGTAAATGCCTTTGCTCCCCTGTCTTCCTGCTGTACCACAGTCTCCCAAGAGTTTCTCAGAGTACAACCACACTTCTCTCTACTCTGCTGTTTTTCTGAGTCTAAGCAGAATTCTAAAAGCACATGCCTCAAACCTCATCTGGTCCTCTCTCTGACCGTTCCAGCCCTTGACTTTGAAAATGACTTAATTTGTAGATGCAACAATTAGCATCACAAGCACCAAACGAGTTTCTGAAGCATTCGAAATTTTTTTTCATTGTCTGAGTAAACTGCAGCATCTGTATGTGGTGTAATTTGTATTTGCAGGACGTTGAGGCGAATACAGTCAGACTTAAAGAACATGACCAAGATGTCTTGGTGCTGGAGAAGGTCCCAGCAGGGAACAGAGCTTCTAATCAAGGAAACTCACAGCCTCAGCAAAAGTATGTTTGTATCCAACACTGTAATTGCCAGACTATGATTAACCTTTTCACATGGTATCATCATTTCTACAATAGCATGTTCTCCTTTTTTGTGGAAGATGGCAGTGTGGCAGTGTGTGTGAGTTTTTTTTTTTTTTTTTCCGCTATTGACTAATCACACATCTTGTGGAGTATAATGTATCCATTTCTGGCACTGCATCGAGCTTGGTGCTGCCTAGAGTAATTCTGGAAAGAAGATTCCTCTAGACTGAAAACCTTTCTCTGTACAGTGTTCAACTGTAATAGCTTTGGGACAGAAGGCATGTGAAAGAACAATGCAAATAGGAATGCCACACAGCTCAAAGGATATGTAGGCCCCTGGGTGATGAGATCCTTTGATATTTGAATTCATATGTGGGATTTCTCACGAGGTGTTTTCATCTTGTTATCAGAATGAGTGTCTTTGATGGAAAACCAGATTTCAAATATGAAACAGTCTGTTGATTGCAACCCAGAAACATCCATTTGGCCTCATTCATAATTATTCCTGCTAATGTCAAAAGCATATTTGCTTCACATTTCTCAGGTCTCCTGTTTCACTTGAGTCTGTTTCGGTATGTCTGTGTGCAGTTCCAGCTTTTGCTGCAACTCTCTACATAAGACTTTTTCATCAAATATACCAACACTTGAGTGGTAAGACAGGAGAAGTAGGAAATGTGGCTCTAAGAAATCACAGCAAATTGCAGAATCTGGTTTTTTAAATGGAGATTAATTTTCAGTCTTAGTATAATGAAAACACCAATTCTGTAGCTAAAGAAATGTTACCAAATAGTATGTTTAAAGATAATGCATCCCAAGTAATTTTCCTTTGCCAAGTAAGTGGGGTGTTCTTTTTATCAGGACATTTACTATAACTGATGAATTTTTATTGTTTAGACTAAAAGCCATTTTCATCTGGATAAACCAACATATTTGCAAAGAAAGTGGGAAGAAACACAGTATTATTGAATAGCTGTAGTATATTTTGCAGGTCTTATCTAATCCCTATTATATTACAACCCCTTTTAAAAGATGGAGACCCCCCCTTCTGGCCAGCCACAAAAAAATAAAAACAAAAGATGGAGAAATTTAGGCTCAGAGGAGCAAGTTACTTGCCCAAGGTCTCAAAGCTTGTAATGGCAGAGCTTGGATTCAAATCCAGCCTGACCAATTTGCACACCTACACTCCTTCCATCTTCCAGCTCACTATTGCAAAATATAAAATATAAGTATTATGTAGTACATACTGCAAACCAATGTATTTCAAAAGAGCTGACATAAAAAGACTATATAAAAAACTATCCTCCCACTTACAAAACTATAAAATTATCATCCAGATTTCTTTCATCTGTTACTACTATCCATTCTTGAAAATGTTTTTGACCAAATGTTTTTAACAGTTGTCCTGCTAGCAATGCCTCATATGTTTCAGGAAAATTATACTAACTAAAAAGGGTAAGCCTTGAGAATTCTCCTTAACCTTGAAACATTTGATCAAGGGTCCCCTGGAGGTCTCCTTCCTTCACCTCTCCATATCACTGGGGAAGGATCAAAAACATGTGCTTGTCTATATCTCTCCCATTCAGGGTATCCTGCAAATATAGGTTTCTTATGCATTCAAATTAAGGGGGGTGGAAAAGGAGAGACCACGTGTATTAAATTCATTTTAAGCCTGTATCTGATTTCTGTTATATCTCCTTAATTGCATCTTGTAGTCCAATCCAAATTTCTTGTACAGTTCAAAAACTTGTGCATGTTCACAGCAAACCATTTAAGAAATATCAGAGTACAAAATAATGCATCATCAAAAACTGTTTCCTCAAAGAATGAAAAGTTGGTCTCAAGGGTATTTTCTATGTCGAGCTCCCCCAAATCAGACCAGAGTTGAAAAGGGGGCTCATGTAAATGTCTTTTGGGCTGATTTTCGGAAAACTTTGATAACAGGGCAGCAACCATATCTATGGATGGACTTAAAATTTAGGACCTCCATCTCCTCAGTAATTATCCTTTTTGAGCTCAAGGAGAGTCACTATGTTGGTGCTGATAATAATGTTGTTTTTCTGATTCACTTTTTCCTTGAAAAATCCAGAATAGTTTACGTATACACTTTAAACTTTCAAAACCACCTGACTCTGCCCAAGCCACTCATCTCTGAATGTGATATCAAAATGTAATAATAAGACTATTTCTCGTGATGTATAAATTGTATGGAGCCCTCAAACATTTACCATTTCGGAGATCTTTTCTCCTTTGTGGTTATGACGGTTCAGTGAGAAAGAAATAATTTGAATGACTATTCCTGTTTTAGTTACTCTGTGGCTTTTTCCTTATATTATTTTCTCATTGCTCAACTCCATTTCCCTTTGCTCAACTCTATCCTGTTTGCAGGAAGATAGTCTCTTTCAGGCCCCCCCCCACCCCCTTTTTTGTTCTAGATGCAAATAGAAGTATCCTCATTTGCATACTTAGTGTAGGGAAAAGATTTTCTGTCACAGATTTAAAACCTCTCAGCTTATATAGTGTAACCATTTAGGGTTCACTTTTAACTTGAACTAGAGTAGCTCTTTCATGCAATAAACTGAAAAGAGCCATGCTGTCTGGTCTTTAAGTGGTCTTGACCTCATTTAAACAGAGGTTAAGCTGTAGGCCTGGCAGTGTCCAGCGTGAAACAAAGTCATAACATGATGTTTCAGCCAAACCAGAGCCCCAAGATCACAAAGACCTGTGTCTGGCCAGAAGCTTGGCTTCCCTAAGAGAACGTCAACACCTAACAGCCATCTGTGGAGCTGAGAACAGAGGCTAAGGTAAGGCAGCGATAGCAGCTAGACCACTAGAGGGAGCCTTTGGCAGCAAAAGAAAGATTGGCCAAGTGGGCAGAGCTTGGAGAGGCCACTTTCTCTGTAGTGAGAAGATAGGACATCTGGCTTGCTACCTAGGTCTTTATTTTTTTTTGAGCAGACATAATACTGTAGATAAGGGATATCCAAACAAAGAATACCAGAATGTGAAGCCAGCCTTCCATCAGAATTAAACTTTTGACAAGGGAACAAATTTCACACTGATGTATCAGTCATATAGCTGGCTATAGAGCTTGCAATTTACTAGTAACAGCTACCCAATGCCATGTGAAGTAACAAACCCATTCAGTTTTCATGTTATATAATGTATTTATTCTCTTATTTAAATAAAACTTGTTTTCAGAAACAGACAAAACAAAACAAAAAGCCCTCTTTAGAGGAAGGTTTTTAATTACATGGAGAATTTCCTGTTCAGAAGGTGCTCCCGGTAGCTAGACCTAGTCTCCATCCACAGTGTCTTGCTGTACAGGCACAAAAGTACCATGCGTGTTCTCTGAAGCCAGACAGATTGGCTTATGTCAGAAACGTTCCATTTACTAACTTTGTGACCTTAGGCATGACACCTCCACTTGCTGAGCAGTTTCTCCATCTGCAGAATGAAGATAATATTTAAGTAGCAGGAGTAAACATGAGGACCTTATTCGGTGCCCACCTACTTGTCTGGGGCATAGTAAACATTCAACAGATGTCGAATGCTCTCTGCAACCCCATTTCCTGATTAATGTGGCCAGATGCTACCCTTCTTCCAGCTCAGCTGGAGAGCGCTGTCAAAGAATGATATATTTCAGGAATTACTGGATGAACTGAGCGATACTCTCCATTTAAGGTTGAAAGTCATTTATAGATATTCCCTGTCCTTTCCTCAGATACCCACTGCCTACAAGAGTAAAAATCATTGTCTTCTACCTTATTTGCTTTGAGAAAGGGGCCGTAATTTTGAGATTAAAGTTGGCTTTTTTTTTTTTCTATGCTCCCACCCTCCTCTAGGTTTCAAAGCCAGATTTCCTCAAAGATTTAACTCTTTAGCTTCCTTCCGGTCCTGTGCATGCACCCAGAGTAGTTTTTCAGCCAGCAGCTGAACCAGATAGCCAGGTAGACTGCATCTGCTACCTCATTCAATACCAGGGTGGTTCACTTGCTCTGTTTTCACATGCACGGGGTAATCTGTTAAAATGTCTCTTCTTCATTCCCTCAGGCAGGTGGTTAAGACCTGAGATTTAATACGTTAGAGATATTCTTGGGATCTAAACATACCTCCTGGAAGGTTTCAAACAGGCAAGGAAAGGGTGTTGGTGAGGAGGCAAAGAAAGCTGGCTTGTCCCAGAGCTGAATACTACTGCTGCTTTCTGAACCTGAAAGAATTTTATTCTCATTGTTCTTTTTCTTCCCTGATAGTTTGCTTTAAATGAAATGCCAAGCAGAACATCAAAGTGTGAGTTTTAGAAGAAGAGCACCCAGATCATTTCAATGTATTTTGCCTATGCCTTTTACTTACTGTTTTCTCAGTGTATCTTGAATACAACTTTGAGGCAACCCACATTCAATTTAAAAAATAAATCTCCCCATGTTGATTGAAGAGCACCATGGATGGATCTTCTGAAATTATGGCTAATACACACATACCCCAAGTAATTTATATTTAACATTGAAGTAGATTAGAGGGATTTTCTACTCCTAATTTATTTCCTATTCATGATGCTACTGGGGTTTGTTTGTTTGCTCATTGGTGTTTGGGCTTTGTTTTCTTTTTTCTTGTTTTATTATTAGCTGCATTTCCAAAGCACATAGCAGTGTACAGTTGGGAAAGACAGAGCATTCCAGAAATAGTCAGGGGAATCCAGTGTGGGACTGAAATTTTGCTATGAGTAACCCATATATGGGTAACCTAGTTTACTGCTATCCACTCGCCAGCTCCCCCTGCCTGACCTGAACTGCCCTGGGTTTTATGTATTCCTTTTCATTCCCATTTGGAATAAGTCTGAAGTTTCTCAGTTCCCAGCTTGTTAGTGCTGCTCTCCAAAAAGTTTACTTTAGTTCCATGTAGGGAAAAAAGAACAATGCTTTTAGTAACTACATCACTTTGTGGTTTTTCCATTGTCTCCTCATGTGACTTTGGCAAGGTAGATAGTCTCCCTTACGACAAAGAGTGTATTAGCTGCAGGTAAAGTCAACACAGTTCCCTGGGATCTCAAATTTTATAAAAACTTAGACACATAAAAAGTTTTTTATTAATTATTTACCCTCTTTCAAAAAACTAATGAGATTTTTATTTCTTTTCCAGGTATACTGTGATGTCAGGAACACCTGAAAAAATTTTAGAGCATTTTCTAGAAACAGTACGCCTTGAGCCAGCTTTAAATGAAGCAACAGGTATACACATAAGAATGGTTTTATGTGTCCATTAAATCCATGCATAGCACTGTTTTTAAAAAAAGTTCTAAATTTATTTGCGGTGTGTATAGCCCAAGCAGTTTGAGAAGGGAGTCACGTGCATTAATATTTCAAGAGCATTCCTGTGTGGCCCAGACAAAGAACCGTCCTCCAGACTTTCCTCTGCCGTCTCCATCCCTGGCTGTCCTCTGTAATGACTCGGTCTCAATCATACATATTAGGAGTAGCCTTCCATAGGCATCTCTTAAGTTATCATTCAGATCTCACCTTCTATAGGCATCTATTAGGTTTATTATTTAAATTCTACCTATTCCCATAAAGCACGTGAAGCTGCCTACATAAAAGGCACAGTCTTGCTCCAGTTGGGCGTGAAATGGTTCTTGGCTGCCCCAAGTGTAACTAAACACCACCAGCATTGGTTTGCTAAGGCTGCCCTAGCAAAGTACCACAGAGTGGGTAGTTCAAACAACAACATTGCATTATCTCAGAGTTCTGAAGGCTAGAAGTTCAAGATGAAGTTGATGGTGGGATTGGTCCTACTGAGAGCCGTGACAGAGAATCAGTTCGATGCCTCTCCTAGCTTCTGGCTGTTTGCCATCAATCTTTGCATTCCTTGGCTTGTGGATCCATCACTCTGGTCTCTGCCTCCGTGTTCACATGGCCTTCTCCCTGTGACTCTTCACACAGTCTTCCCTCTGTGCATGTCTGTCTCTGTGTCCCAGTTTCCCCTTTTTACAAGGACACCTGTCATATTCGATTATGGCCCACACTAATGACCTAACCTTAACTTGACCACATCTCCAAAGACCCTATTTCCAAATAAGGGCACATTCTGATATACTGGGGTAGTACTTCAACATATCTTTTTGGGGGGACAAAATTCAATACATAACACCTTATTACAGCAAACTGGTCTTCTTACCTAAAGTACAGAAATTTGAGGGTAGGGTGAATTTCACCAGTGAACTCAGTCAGGGTTGTTATGGTATCATTTTCCACTTTGGTTACCATTTTGTACATGATTTTGGAACAGCTCACATTAGCACATTCTGATATACTGGGGTAGTACTTCAACATATCTTTTTGGGGGGACAAAATTCAACACATAACACCTTATTACAGCAAACTGGTCTTCTTACCTAAAGTACAGAAATTTGAGGGTAGGGTGAATTTCACCAGTGAACTCAGTCAGGGTTCAGTTATGGTATCATTTTCCACTTTGGTTACCATTTTGTACATGATTTTGGAACAGCTCACATTCAACTTCTTTAAAAAATATACTCCTATGCTACTGGCCTGTCTCTCAGAATAATGTCATGGGTTAATATTTTAAGCACACTGAGTTCCACAGAAGAACATTTCTCACTGAAAAAAATGTTCAAAGATTTATCTCCTAAACTTAGTGGCAATTCAAAATCCATTTCCATAATTGACCTTTGCAGATATATTGAAGGTGAAGATATCATTATTATTATATACCTCCTAAAAGTATTTTACCACTGACTTCTTATTCCAGTTTCTCATTTTGTAAGTAGATTATCTGAGATTTTTTTTTATGTAGTAAATTAATTGGGAAATAATAGATATAAAAGCCTGGCTCCGGGCTAGATATTGTCAGCTCAATATTTGTTGAGGACCTTGTTGAGCAGGCACTAAACTGAGTGCCCTGGACTAGGCAGTGTGTACAAGAGCTCAATCCTATCCTCAGGAAGCTTATACTCTACTAGAGAACATAAAGGAATGTACCAATAATTTGAACATAAGACAGGATGTGGTCAGTGCTTCAGGTGCACTGATGGATCAAGGAGACCTGGGAAAGTGTCATGGAGAATTTAGCCTTTGAAGTGGCCCTGAAGGATGGCTTATGACCAGTAACTAGAGATGGGGACAAAGCCTTCCATAATGAGGGACAACATAAGTACTGACCTAGAAACAGGCAAGGAAGAGCAAGCAGTGTAAGTTTCGCTGGACCATCGAATACATAAGTGGGAAAAGGAAGGTAAGGTTTAAGAATTGGGGGTATAGGTCTTGGAGGGTCTTAAGTGCAGAGTTAAGCGTTGGGGAGTGGTTGAAGATGTCTGAGCAAGGAGAATGTGATAAGAGCTTTGCTGAAGAAAGGTTACTCTGTATTTAGAATGGAGAAACCTATGAAGGACCAGTTAGGGAGGGATTGCTTCTAAGAGGCATACGTAACCTCAAATAAACCAAATTTTTAGGAGCATAGGTTGGGAAAGTGCAGCTGATTTTTCTCTGATTAACTGTTTGCCCAGAATGCATGATCGCGTACAGCAGGAAACGGCATCTTCTTTAAAGAGGGTATTGACTCAAAAGTAAGATTCTGGTACAAAGAAACTATTGCATCTAAGCAAAGATCTATACAGTCTTTACTACCCATGAGGAGCAAATGTATTCTTCCTTTTAAAGTTAACTCTAGAAGAGGTGGGGACTGGATTATTGCTTCTTAAACAAACAACAACAACAACAAAATGAAGACTAGAAATCAGTGTATTCTATGGATAGCACAAAGAATGTCATTCCTGACCATTCCATTTTTGATGTTAGAGACTAGGCTAACATCATAATTTCATATCAAATTTCATTACATGTGGTTTTTCTGATTTTTTTCCTTACAAGTAATGTTCATGGCTTGGCAATAAAGAGTAAATCAGTATCTTTCTCATAAATCAAAAATACAAATATGCCCCACTACTATCCTGAACACTAAAAATAGTCCTAGGGCAAGTCCATGAAACTTGTGGCTAGAGAGAAGTGGGAGACTCTTGGCATTTATAGATTTACAATATAGGGAGAGATCTCAGAGTTACAGTGAAACTTGTTTATATCGTAGAAATGAACACTGCTGAATTTGATAGTACATTCTCTTAATTAACCAAAACATCAATTTTCTACCTAAGACCTATTAGTTTCCTGGACTTTTGACTTCTATGACCAGCATTAGTCACTGAGTGACTTGGGAAATCATTTTCTAGTAGGAAATAATTGTTTTAAATAAGTTCTCAAGAGTTGTTGCATATGAGTAGAGAACAAGTAAGCCACAATGACATGTGGGTGCCGGATGTCTGGCCGTGCTAAGTGATCAGTTCCCCAGCACTGGTGCACCCAAGTCAAATCTTATACGCCTTCCAAGTAGCGTATAAGCAAGCATGACCTCCCCTATCCTCGGGGAATGTATAAAACACACAAAGGTGACTCTCGATGTTAAACTCAGACAAACCAAACTCAAAACCTTCCATATAGCTTCTGTCTGGCACCTTCTCTTGCTGCTTCTCTGGCTCAGTATTATGGGACTGGACTGACACTGAGTGATGACAGCTTGGGATTACACTCATCACATATCTAAATGGGTGTAATAGTTAAGCCTTTAGTCACTGACTCAAACTCTGCCAATATAAGTTGATTAAAAACATGGGCATTGGAAGTCTAATTTATAGAGTTAAATTTGCATATTTCTCCCCATTTTCTATTTGAAAAGTTATGTGAGTTTCACAAGTCTCAGTGTAGTCCATTTTCTGACTGAAAATCCCCATGGCATCTTGGGCTTCAAGTTTCAACAGGCATGCTCCCGAGGCTTCTACATTTGTCTTCATGTGCTCTTCCATCAAGGCTAGCTGGATAGTGTTGTTTCTGCAAAAAAGAATCAGCCTCACATTCAATGATGAAGCAAATGAAGCTTATCTCTAGGACCTGCCTTATTTCCCTTGCCATCCCCCTGCTCAGCTACCTACAAAATAGCTTCAAATATAGGAAATTCATCATTTTAATCTACTGGATAGCTTTTGTTTTGCTCCAGTTGCTGCTCACAGCCTTTATCTTGCCTTATTTTGCTGCCTTTTTTCCCCCTCACCAAGTCTCTGCACTTACCATCTCCTTTTTTTTGTAATTCTATTGCCCTCTCACTCTTCACTGCTCTTTCTGGAAATAGGAGGTAAAAGAGATAAAGAAAAAGTGATATTGAAAAAATAAATGTGGTGTAAGGTAAACAAAGAAATGACCATGTCTTAATTCTGTGTAAATGGTATTGCCCACATGTGACTATTTATGTTTATTTTTAAAATTCTTTCTGACTAAAATGCCTAGGCCATTTGTATAAGGCTGACTCTTTTTAAAATATTATACTTTTGGTCCTTTCTCCTAAGAAATTGAATTTTGATCTCAAACTCTGTCAGTATCATTATTTTCATACAAAGTGCTTCTATGTCCAGTAAACCACAATACCCCAAAACAACGTACAAGAACCGGTGGCCATGAACAAGTGAATAGACACTCTTGCTTTCCTAAAGATTTTTACACGAACCTTATTTCCTTTTCTGCTTTTCCCTCTCCAGATTCTGTTTTAAGTGACTTTGTTATGATGCACTGTGTTTTTATGCCAAATACCCAGCTTTGCCCTGCCCTGGTGGCCCAATATCCTTTTGTTGTGGTAAGTCTCCATTCCCTTGCAGACACCCCACATGGATAGGGGCATTACCCCATCTCATCTTCTGAAGGTAAGTCATGGCCCAGGCCAAGTTGAGCTTTCCACCCTCATCAAATCCTGAAATGCCAGCAATTTTCCCCTGTGCAGACTCTAGGCACAGGTGTGCTGTGCCACGTTTAAGGATTTCCTCCTTATTACCTATGTAGAGAAATGTGAACCAGGTTACCTCAGGAAGGTGTTACTGGCAAGAAATATACATACCTAGGAGGTAGGCATGGGAAGGTTATGGAGAAGAATCAGGAGGTATTATTAGGGACGGTAGACCGCGTACCTCTGTCAGGCTGCCTGGCAGGGTGGACTGCAGCTTGCTCATGTTCTTCCTCTAAGCTATAGTATTAATCAAGTTGCTCACATGCTGAGATAAATACAAGTTATCATTGTGGGGTAGCTTTTCTTTCACATTCATCCTAGTTTATTCTTTCCTCTAGATCCTGAAATTTCTTTCTTCGTTGCTCTTTTTTAATCATTATCACATTGACTTAAAACAAAGATACAACACTTGACATTCTAATGACAGTTGCTCTAGACAGCCTGAAGACTGAGTTTTCTTTCGAGCAGCTTTTCGATAGTGTATTGAATTGACCAATGCACAGAGTGAGGATTCAGAAAATGTAAGTTGAATAAAAGAAGTGAATATTTCTAATTATTTTCACCCTCAACTTTGGGGAACACGTGAAAGTATATTTTTCACTTCTGCCTTATTTTTAAAGCAATGAAAATTTAGCCTTTAGCCTTTATGAGTAGTTAAATATATTGAAGGAGAATGGCTTTTTTTTTTCTTTTTCTTTTTCTGAGCAATTCAATCAATGTTGGCATGTTTTCCTTTTTCAACTTTAGCCTTTATGAGTAGTTAAATATATTGAAGGAGAATGGCTTTTTTTTTTTCTTTTTCTTTTTCTGAGCAATTCAATCAATGTTGGCATGTTTTCCTTTTTCAGGATTATAATTGCCCTACCTGATTCTCATTTCCTTGTTCACCCATAATTCTCTCTGAAGTCAACAGAATGTGTGAGGATAGGAGATTTGAGTTGAATGTATTACTCAGAGGGAGCTGCAGGAGTGAGATTCGGATGTTTATTTGCCTGGAAACTATCTTTCCAAGTAATGACAGCTTAATGAGACTTACATATATTATATATACTTTCTGGCTCATATTCAGTTTTTGTCAAGTAAAATTAACACATTCAGGATCTCTCTGTGCTCTTTTAACTCCATACGTGGGAATAATTGTTAGACCTTTGAGATTTGTCAGAAAGAAAAATAAAAACCACCTTTGAGTTTAGACTTACATTTTTCAGCAGTTAGCATGTTGATAAGCCTAAGGCAAACAAAACCAAAAGAAGAATAAGAGAGTAGAGTGGTCGAAGGCATTTCATCTTTATAACTCAAAGCCCCAAACGCTAAGCTTGTATAAGTAATTTTTGCACATCCCAGTTTCTTCATGTATTAGCTTGTTCTCCTTCAAGAGATGATTGAGAACATTCAGCTCACTAAAGTCTGTTTTTAAAATAGCAGCTCCTGGAGAGAAGGTCCATGCCATGCCCAGGTAGGGAGGAATAGAGACAATGGTATTGGCTTGGAGGAGGAAAAGACCAGAAAGTGAGTGATAGACTCATGGGAGATCTGTGATCTCAAATCCCAGTTCTCTTCTCAGTCGACTGAGAGACCCAGGCAGGCAGGGTAGCGTCTGTACCTCACGGCACCCTCAGCCCGCCTCCTTCACACCCAGCCTTTTGAGAACTTCAGCTCTCTTCATTGTTCTATTTTGAATCAACTGTCTATGTGTCAGGCATCATAATGAGAACTTATTTTAAATTTTTAATGGTTCTGTAACTTTTAATTAAAGTTTAAGAACACTCCTCGATAATGTGTTGCATGATACATGTTTATCTGTGCTTCAGTTAGCTAAAACCAAAGTAGGCCTCATTTGTTGAAAACACATAAAGTGCTTTGTAGGACTTCTCTCTATTCTACAAATTCTCAATAATTTTCTGAATGCTATCTTTAAAAATGTGCATTTTCAGTTTTAATAGCTTTGCCAATGTCCCAAGGCTCTTAGGGGGACCTATTTTGCATATTGACCTGGAGAACTGCTCAGGGATGTCACGACAGGCCAGTGAAGGGTTCTACTTTCAGGTCAGCCCTGTGGGGAGAATCAAGAAGGGGGCTTTGGGCCTGTGGACTAGCCTAGCACTGTCCAATGGAACTTTTTGCAGTGATGAAAATGTTCTATATCTATGCTAGCCTGGTAGCCATTAGCCTTGAAATTGGCTATTGTGAGGAACTGAATTTTTTATTTTATTTCATTTTCATTAGTTTAAATTTAAGTAGCCACATGTGGCTAGTAACTACCACATTAGACAGCACAAGTCTCGTCCTTAAATATTGGAGATAACAGGCTTAATCAAGAATTGCTGTTCTGTAACGCCTAGGGAGGGCAATTGTTATCCCAGAAGAACGGGAAGTCATCCTGCTGCACGCAAGCAAAAGGAAAGGGCTCTATCCCTGAAGGTTATATATGTGTAAACTTCTGTCCTATGCTAAGGACATGGATTTTAGCCTCCCTTTCCCCTCAGGGAGATGTTACATAGACTCGTATACAGGCTATCTCTTTCGGTCGTAAGCACCATAAACCAACTGTAACTTACTTAAGAAATGAAAGAATTCATCAGAAGGATATGGGGTGACTCAGAGAATTGAAGAAATCCTGGAAGAGCCCAGCCCAGGCCTCAGAAAGGGGCCCAGGGGCATTACTTAAGAAATGAAAGAATTCATCAGAAGGATATGGGGTGATTCAGAGAATTGAAGAAATCCTGGAAGAGCCCAGCCCAGGCCTCAGAAAGGGGCCCAGGGGCAGGAACTAAAGACTCTGCTGTTCGGGTAAATCTACTCCAAATATCCTGGGCCCTTACCTCATTCCCACGTCCTTAGGAAGGAGGGTCTAGTTGGCCTAGTTTGGGTCACTGCTGACATCATGGTCAAGTGAAGGCAGAGTACTTTACTGGGCAGTATCACAGAAGCTGCCTGCAAAGAAAAACAGGAAGTGGAGAAATAGACGATAAGGAGGCAAAAACAGCAAACATATATAAACTGCACTAACAGCACACCCGCGAGCAACAGGGATGTCTAATGAAAAATGGAACAAGCGGGTCACCCCCCATGTTTTTTAGCGTGGGATATAGGGATGGTAAAATACCTGACCAAGTCCTATTAGTCAGTTGCTTTGGCTGAGTGTTTTTAAAGTACTTATACAACTATGACTTTTCACAGCAGCCCTATGAAGGAGTCAGTACTTTCACTGCTTTTTCCAAATCAATAAACGAGGATAATGAAAAATTATAATTTGCTTAGAGAAAGGTAATTACTAGTACAGAAAATACTTGAGTCCTGAGCTGCTGACATCTATTTCTGTCCTTAATCCACATTGTATGTCTCTCCCAATTTTGCTTTTAGCACAGAGAAAGGTGGTAGAACTCTAACATTTATCAGGCCTTTTATGTGCTATTGAGAGAGACTCTCTATTCATTAGATACACTTTGGACATGCTCTGACCTGATGAATACAGGTGCTTTATAATGAATTTTAAAATCATGTTTGTTCAATTTCCATACTTTTCATCTCCAGCTTGTTTAATTGTTTTAAAATCTGCATTTAAAATTCAGTTCAATTTTCCTTTAGTCTTAAAAAGAAAATTAAAACCACCCATCTCCTCTCAGGTATAACTATTGGTAAGATTTGAGTGTGTATCCTTCTAGTCTTTTTTCTATGTGTATAGGTATATACTTTTAAATATAAGAATGGGATCATACTGTAAATAATTGTGAATGTTATTTCACTAAACAGTATTTTGTGAATATCTTTCTATGTCATTAAATATTTTCTATGCCATTTTTCTAAATATAGTTTTGTCATTCTTAAAAATAAAACATTCTCATTATTAAAAAGTTTGAATTACCATAAAAAGAGAAGAGAGCAAAACTCAATGGCTCACCACCATTCATAATTTTATGAAAAAATTCCAGAATATATTTTTTTATTTTATATAAAATGCATTATATTACATATGCTTTTTCATAAAATGTTCCTTTTCACTTAATGGTATGTTTTGAATATCTTTTCAAACTAATATATATAAATAAAACTACATCGGGGCCGGCCCGGTGGCGCACTGCTACAGTGCGCCGCTTGGGAGCGCAGCGACGCTCCCGCCGAGGGTTCGGATCCCACATACAGACCGGCGGCTCACTGGCTGAGCGAGGTGCGGGCGCAACACCGAGGGTTGCGATCCCGTTGCCGGTCCCGGTCCAGTACGGGCGCGACACTGAGGGTT